AAGATTGGAATGTGAAATTGTTTTCTATTCTTTATAGTGTTGGAAAAAGTGCACAGATAAATTGTTTCACGTGCCGAAATTCTCCCGAAGACAAAGGCCGAAGACAAATTTATAAATGTTAAGAAGCGTACTTTTCATCGTCTAAGAATTTCTAGTACAGTACATGTAAGTAAAATTCCTATTTCTACATCAAAAACCAAAAAATAATCGCTAATAAAAAGAATCGTAAAGAAAAAGGTTCTTGATAATGAAGCGAACTTTTTAATTAACTTTTTTTCTGATATCATTCCGTGCGAAAAAAAATTGGAAATTTTGTTGAAAAAAGTATCCCTTATTAATCCGTACAAATTGGCTGTATCTTGAAATAAAAATATATATTTGCGACGAGTCGAGCTGAAAGACGGACGAAACTTTGGGTACCAACTCTTGCCATGTGTTTCTTCTCTCTCTCTCTCTTGTTAATGTTTTCTCAGATTTTTTGTAGCAATATTGAAAGAAGAAAAAATTGACATTACGCCCGGGAACCTGACGACTCCGAACGGGGTAATGATGCTAAAATTATCCCCGGGAACGTTATTGCTGCGGGTAACGGGGTTTCGGAAATGATCCTGTTCCCTTTTTTTTAGCGGGAAGCACATATTGAGGGGGGATGGATTCTTGAAGGTGCGGCCTGTTTTGGCCTTGTGTCGGGTTCTCAGTCTTCGCCCACGATTATCCGAGTTATTTTTCTCTGTCTTCTCCTTTCATATTTACAGAAAAATTCTTCTTGATGAAGATTTTTTGCTCGAACGATTCATTCAATTCTCTTTTTCCTTTTTTTAAAGTTACTTTGGACTGGAGAACGTTCGTTAATTACTCATGCGTGAGTCATTGTGAAATGCTGGACTTCCGGGTTGGGGTTTTCTCGTGAATTTTTCGCCTATTCGCTAAAAGAGAACCGGATGGAAGAAGTCGAAAGTTGAGATGGGATCATTATACAATTTTTAATGGGTTGAATGAGAATTCCTGAAAGAAATTTCTAAATTTAAAAAGTCGGAAACATGATCGCTCGTGAATAAGGCGGGTCGAAACGGCGGTTGTACAAAAGTATAAATTTTTCTAGGATGTCAAGTGCCAAATAATGGCATTTTGTGTCTGGAAATGATGTACCTGTTTGTTTATATCAATGGGTTTCCCGGAGAAACATTTCCATGCATAAAATTACGATTATGATGATAACTTTCGCTCTCGTTTGTGATTCACAGGCGGCTTATTTTTCTGCCTATTTTTTTTAGCACGTATTTAATTTTTTGGACACGCCCACTTTTTATGGCATGCTTTCACCATCTGAAATAGGTGGAAACGTTTGTCTGAAATAACAGAAAAATATTTTTTAGAGCTGCTGTGATACAAGTATTCGGCGATTATTTCGAAATGAGTCATTTGCCGATCGTTAGTCAGCTTCAAATCACAGAAAAAATTGTTTCAAAAGGTGGGAAAATTTCTGGAATGTGACAAGGATGCGTACCTTGATTCACACTCTCAAAGTTGATGAGTTGTGGGAATCCCGAGAAGCAAAATTCCTCAAGATTCCATGGAAAATACTCGGTATTTTTAGGTCAGTGATTTGTCGTCTGTTATACGATATTTCATCAAGTTGTCGTGCTGTTCTGTGGGAAGAATTTTTCAAGCATTCCATTGAGTTCTGGTAGTATATATTTTTTTAATATCTCGGGGTTAGACTAGTTTCAGTCCAGTTTGTCGTGAGGGCTAATAATCGAAGTCTCCTGTTTTCACCGCTGCGTACAAGACACGACGTGGCGTGAAAGAAAGAAAGACCTTGGGAGACTTTTTTCTCCCCGGTGACTTGAGTAATTTCTTCCCACAGGAAAACTTTTTTTTTTCTTTGGTTGGTCAATTGGAGTCGCAAGTTATTTCGATCTTGATGAGGAACAATTTTCGAGAAAATGGGTATTTATTTTGTTCGGTTTTTGAAGGTCCAACGGAAGTTTCTTTCTGATTCCGCTTGAGTTCCAGGTTTAATTTTTAAAAATTTGTCGTAACGGAAAACTCATCGACAATTCGTGATGGTGAGGTTTTTCGGAAAGCTGGGCAGTGATTTCAGGGCATTTTTTTCAGCCAAGTGTTGAATGGGATTTTTTTTCGATCAGTATCAAACTCAATCCAACGTTGGGCAAGTGTGAGTCAGAAACTTTTTGAAAACCGCAAACCTGAAACTTATAACAAAGCAAATCTTCCATAATTGAATGTATCAGAAAAAAGATGATGGATGCCGAGAAATACTCATGAATTTAGTCCAACTGGCATTTTTATTCTCATTCCGATAAAAACCTTCGGAATAAAATTGACGTGATCAATCGAAATTTTCCCTGCATAAAATAGTCAAGTTTTTTTTTTCAATCGGAATCGCAAGTTATTTTGATCGTGATGAGAAACAATTTTTGAGAATACGGATATTAATTTTGTTTTTGAAGGTCCAAGTGAAGTCTCTTTCTGATTCCGCTTGCTTTCTATTTTTGATTTTTAACATTTGTTGTAACGGAAAATTTATTGACGATTCGTGATGGTGAAAGTTGTGGAAAACTGGGCAGTGATTTCGAGGCATTTTTAGCGAATATAATTTTAAGAGGAATATAATTTTTTGAGAGCGAATCAGTATCAAACTCAATTCTGCCTTGGGCAAATGTGATGTGGAAATTTTTTTCAAAGATCTGGAGCCATCAGAATATCAAAAATTGAAATTTCCTTCTTTGAATTCATCAGAAAAGAGTACTCAAGCAGAGTAATGCTCAGAAATTAGTCTAACTGAAGTTAAATTTTAATTCTCATCGTGATGAAAAACCATTGGTGGAACATTGACAATTGAATGAAACTGGAGTTCAAGAAAATTTTCCGAATTCTGCCTCCAAGTTACTGTATGCAGTACATTTACTAAATTTGATCAACTGGAATAATAAATTTCCCCGAATCTACTGAGGGAGAAAAAGAAGCAGAAATCTGAAATAGGAATTTCCCGTTTAAAAAAAAAAGTATTTCAAGGATACAGTACCACAGTAAAATCTCATTACACCAAATTTTGCTTGAACGAAGAATCGATTGCAGCGTACTTGGTTTTTAGGTCCCTGTTTAATATCTGCGATGTTGGTCCATTTCGTTTTTAACGAATGTTTCTTTTATCTGTAAAAAAGCTGAACAAGGGTAGTACCGAAGCAACATTGCTCTAAAATTAGATGGTAAAAGTCGGGTCAGACTCAGTAAAGGGTCTCTCTAAAAAAAGGATATACAACCCCTGTTTCTGGTGGTCAAATGAATTTAAAAATTGGAAAAAGGGACAATAACAATCTGGAAATCAAATTTTAAATTTTAAAAATTCACGGAAAAATTCGTCATAACCGGAGAGTCAGTAGAAAATAAATTCGTTATAATGAGATTAATTTAAGCTGCGCCATGAGGATAACTGCCAGGACTTGGAAAAAATTCGTTGTAAGCAAAAATGGGTTATAACAAGATTCGTTGTAATGAGATTCTACTGTATCTTTGTGGTAAAAAAAAAGGGTTTTTATTAACTTCCTTTTTTTTGTCCTTGATCAAGAACAAGAAAATCTCAGAGGCCTCTGATTGGCCTGAAAAAGTTGCGTCGAAGATGTCTTTATGCCATTAAACTAAAAATTTGGGGAGAAGGGGGGAGGCATTGGCAGTTTTTTTTTCCACTTGTGTGGTTTTCCACCGGATTAATTTATTTAGGTTGATCTTTTTTGATGAAGAGGGGATGCGCAGCTAGTGCCCAACACTGTATGCTCACTTTCCTTTTGAAAAAGAAAAAAAATAATGTTCCTGTGAGTGTGTTTTCGAGTCACTTTTCTTGAGCATTTTACTCTGTTTAAATTGTTGATAATGGCCACAAAAAAAAAAATAAATAAAAAGTCGTGAGTGGTCGGCGTGTGGATGAACTTCGCCTCTGCATGACGATCGTTGGCATTATCGCGTCACGCGCGCGTGCTTCCACCGGAAGTCGCCATTTCCGCGATTTCCTCCCTTATGCGGCCTGTCTTCATTATTGCGAAACATCCGCAAAGGGAAAATCTATTCTATGAATGCTACTCGTCTGAGGACGGAAACTTTCAACATTCTCGCTATACAGTACAATAATTTGAACTCGATTTAAAATTTTCAACTTGCTTTATTTTTGAGAATTATGGTTAATAAAAATTGCTTTAAGTTGTTTGTAAAGCTTTCCGTAGACACGGAAGTATTTAAAAACAAATGACAATATATTATGGCCGGAATGTTTCCCATGAACGAATGAAAAGGATAATAAGAATTTCTGCCAGATTATTCTTTGTCTCTCATCATGACTCTTGAAAAAATTTTGAGTTGGTGTGAATATCTGAAATGTTTCACTTTTTTTTTTTAGCTTAACGTTAAAATTTCTTCCTAGGAGTCAGTCTATGTATTCGCTGTAAATTTTTGTTACATATTTAAGAGCAGTTCTTCGAAAGCAAATTTATTTTTACACGATTTGATATTTGTTATCTAGAGACTCGATCGCTACTAAATTTTAGTACAGTACCTGCAGTAGGACTTCAAAGTTTAGATTTCTTTTGGTGAAACGATGACTTTCTTGGAGCTTCAGCATCACTTCACAATTTTTATTTGTGCATGATACAGTCGAGATTCAACTCAATAATTTCAGCTACTTTTTGAGTAGCTTCTTTCTGCAGCAAATTTTTCAGGATACACCGATGTAATGAATCAGCAGCAAGACAGTTCATAAGAGAGAGTCGACGGAAATATTTTGTTTAGTCCGATCGCATTTAAAATTTGATATGTGGGTGTTTTCTAGTGAAACAATGACCTTTAAGAAAGCTTCATCATATGACTGGAAAAAAAATTCCAGGCAATGTCAGTGAATATTTGAAATGCTTCGCTTCGTGATTCAACTTGAGAATGTTTCGGCGGGGAAGAATTCTTTCAATTCTCGTTTATATTCTTCATTTTATTCCTTTTTTGTGTGCCTCGTATTTCAGGTGGACGAAAATAGAAGATCGGTCTTTTCTTCTTTCTCTGTTTGTATCTGAATGCGTGCGATGGTGGATCAGTGATTTATTGCCTGCCTCGCGGTTCGAACTGAAAGCTTCGGCGATAAAAAAAAAAAGTACAAAAAAAGGGACGAAAAAAACAGAGCCAAGAAGAAGGAGAAACTGAGCAACGCCATGTTGGTAGCGTCGTCATCGTCATCGACGTTGTCGAGGCCCCCGCTGGCACTGGTTTTGCTGCTGGCACTGCTGTCGACGACGTTGAGCGGGGCGACCAACGACGTGACGTTTGTCGACAACGGGTACGAGAACGTGGTCGTGTCCATCAGCGACAGGCTGGACAAGGCCCAGTGCCCGGTCATCGTCCGCAATTTATGGGTGAGTTGACAATCCCTCTTCTCTTCTGCCACCGACTTGTATATATATGAGACTTGTCGAGGTATGTCGACAGCCATATAGATATGTCGAGAGTCATGAAAAAAAATAATGATGAAAATAAAGTCGACGCCGACGCGATTTGGTATCGTGACGCTAATCTTCCCTTGCGTTTCCGCAAGCGCAACGGGAACGAAATCTTATCTCTTTCATCGCATTATTTTTATTTTTTTATTTTAGTCCCTTACTTTCTTCCTTCCTTCCTCTTCTTATTTGCCCCCCACTTGTTGTTTTAATTTGCCTGAGAGGAAAATTGTCCCCCCCCCCCTCCCAATTAAAAGGGGATTTCTTTCATGGTTGAGTTTATAATTTTTAAACTTCGCTTGCCGACGGGGGAAACCAGGGGTTTTTGCAATCGATGATGTTCGAGAATTTTGTTTAAAAATCCATCGAAAATTCTTTAATTGTTCTCGGTGAATTATAGAATTGTATTATGGAAAATTATTTCGTGTTATGTGTTTCCTGTTTAGTATTTATTGCAGAATGAGACGCTTTCGCGAAAATTGGCTCAACACCAGACATTTTAAGGACGCAGAGCGTTTCTTCTTGGAGACGCGCTTTTAATTTTTTAAATTTATTAAATTAAAAATCAGGTCTTACGCTTCAACTCGAAGGTGTTCGACGTGCCTGAAAATCTTGTGTACAAGTTGATTTTGTTGAAAAAAATCGTCGGGGATTCTGTGTTTGTTCTTGTTGACCTTCAGAATTATTTTTAGAAGATTATTTCGTGTGTGATTCTTTTATTTTTCTCTGTATTTATTGCAGTTTGAGTCATCATTTCAGGACAGTATTTTTTTCGTAAGACGATGAGCTTCCAGTTTTTTTTTTTAATTTTTAAATTTTAAATCAGGTCTTCGGTTTCAACTCAGAGGTATTCGGCGAGCCTTTGAATCCGGTATGAAAAAGGATTTTTTTTTGTCAAATCCCGTGGAATTCTGTGATTGTTATTAAACTGCAGAATTAGTTTACTTTTAAAGATTTCGTGCGGTTTTTTTTTTAAATTCATAGCAGTATGAGACGCTCACAGAAAAATTGGCTGAACACTATATAGACAATTTTAGTTCTAGATTTTTATTTTTGAAGACCGACGAAGTTTCTGTAATTTTAAAAATTGAAAATCAGGTCTTCAGTTGCGAATTACAGGTGTTTGATCATTGATGTGCCTGAAAATCTTTTACAAAAGTGGATTTTGTTTAAAAATCGTTGGAATGTCTGTTATTTTTCTTTTTGAACAAAAACATTAAATTTAGCAAGATTCATATTCTTGTAGTGATTTTTTTCTCACATTTATTGCAGCATGAGACGCCTTCATGAAAATTAGCTTAAACTGCGGCATTTTTTATTTTCTTTTGAAGACTCGCTTATATTTAGAACAAAATTTCAACTTTAAAATCAGTTATTCAGTTTCAACTCAATGGTGTTCGATGTGTCCTGTAAATGAACATTCCTGTATTTTTCTGAGAAAAGTATGTTTAAGATTTGAAGTGTCTAAAAAGGAAATGCGGAATACTGTTGAGGCAGGAAAAATGCTCACGTTTCCCTTATTTTGAAGAAAGCAAGAAATATCAATGCTGGTACAGTATATATATCTATATATTTTCTCTTGATTCCCTCGATATGTTTGTTGTTGAGATACGTTTCTTGAAATTTGTTGATCGCAGAAGAAACAACTGACGCGTGCCATGTTTTTTCCCTCTGCTCCTCGTTTCAAAAGCAATGTTTGTGGCTTAAAAGCGTCGTGACGTCGACGGAGGCTTTATATCCTAGTTTTTGATGTTCTGAACAGGTTTTTATGGGATTTCCCCTCGAATAAAATCTTTTTGATGATTATCGGAATTTTGATTTTGATAAATTGTCACGTGCCGGCAACACTGCATGTTTTTTTTTGTATTTCTTCGTGGGAGGTTTCCGCCGGTTGCACTTGAAGTGGTATTTTTGAAAGGAATTTTCATGTCCGAACTCAGAGCTGTCTATTGATTGATTTTTCTTGTTCTCTGATTTTTTCTTCGATTTTTTGTGTAATTGTTCTGTAGATTTTGTTTTTCGGGATCTTCGCTGTTTCAACTGATTTGAAATAAATTTTTTACGCATGGTTCTAAATTTTTGAAGATCTGTAAAACAATTAGAAGCTGAAAAAGACGAATAATTTGATAACATTCCTGAATGCAGAGTTGAATTATTTCAATTATCGCAATCCAAAGATTAAAATCGGAATGGGATCAAATCCTGTTGCTGATGTTTATTGATACTTTTCAAGAGTGAAAGAACATTGTGCTTTTCTAAATTCGCTTTTGTTCGAATATTAACTGTTGTTTTTTTACTTACATTGCTCGTGAAAATTTACGTCAGATCGCAGGAAAAATGTTGAAACAGCACATGATACAGTATTTGCAGAATTTTCAAACTGTTCCGGTGAATGATGGCGTTTTCGTCGAAGTGAATATTATATGTAGAAAAATAATCCACGAAACCAACATAAATAATTATTTCCGGTATTTTTTCTAAATTTTAGCTACGACATTATGAACATTTTGAGATTATTCGTCCGTGTTTCGGTTTCTGAACAATTACGGAGTTCGAAACAAATTTCGTTATGATGACGGAGAATTTTTTCTAGATTTTCCCGCGGAGTGATTAAAATCTCGAAATAATTGACATTACGGTCGTTTTCCAGATAAATGTTAATTTTCGCAAGAAATGTACGCGCCTATTTTTATTTCGTGACGAAAAAATCTGTTTGACCCTCCGCTAAATACCGTTTTACTGTATCCCAAGAAGCCGTCTTCGAATTAAAGACAGCGTTTTCGTCGACATGAGAACACTTTGAAAGCGTCGTGACGTCGTTGGTCGTGACGTTTGACCGTCGTCGCTGTTCATGCGTCGCTGGTCCAGTGGCGCGTCATCGCTATGACGTCGACATTTCGTGTGAGAAGGCACTTGGTTCCATTTCTTTTTTTTATCGTTTCCATTGGAAGAACAAATCGCGAAGCTCTTGTTTTTTTATTCTCCCACCACTGAAGCATATTTTTTTTATTCACCTGCGACGATTATTATTTTTTATTTAATTCAATTTTTCTCGGTGCCGATGTCGAGCGAGGGGTTTTTGTTAAAACGTCATATCGTGTCCCGGTGTCGATGTCCGTGACGCGTGATTGAGTCCGCCCCTGTCGTCGCATTGCTTGTGTCTCTTGGACCGTGGGGAGATTGCGGGGAAAACAAAAATTTTGACAGTCGTTTTTTTTCTTGATTTTATTGCATTTAATTTCCTCGAAAAGAAGAAAGTATTCAAGCCTATAGAGACTTTAGAATTTTCTTATGGTGTAGAACAAAACAATGCGGTTTTCTTTCATGGTTGCGAAAGCGTAGGAATTTAGGTACATGTGATTGCGAGACTTGCGAAATCGTGCTGGGGTATTGAACATGCAAAAATTTTGAAAATTTCTGACGGTTTATCGATGTGCAGAACTTTCGTGTCAATTTGTTTTAGGTATTTTTATGCATGGGGGAACATTTTGAAATCATCTGGAAAATTATTATATTTCTTCAGATTGGCTTAGTGAGTGAAACATCTGCTTTATAAGCGTCAAAATTTTCTTCTGTGCCAAATTTTGCAGTAGTGTACCAATAATCTCCCTTCGTTCAATGTCATATTTTTTTACGCAAATTTGTTGCATTAGAATTTTGTAATTCCCCAAAGTATTCAAACTACCGTGGGTTTAGAAACGCCCGAATCATCGTTTGTTCTAAAAAAAAAAAAATTACTGTTGTTTTAAAGATTTTTTCTTCATTATCAGATGTAATTTTTTTCGGAGATGAGAATGTTTTAATTTTAATTTTTGAAGTGGTAAAAACATGTTCTTCGTCGTTTTTAAAAATCTTCCTGGAATTTGACGCATTCAACGTTTTTAAAAAATAGAGCATGATACCAATATTTTGACCATTTTCATCGTGTTAAACCGTATTGAATATATTAACCATATTATCCAGCAACTAGGTGATTAACCTTGTTTTTTTTTCTTCGTCAAAAAGCACGTGGCATGACGTTCATCAGAAGCGAGGAAAATTCCACGACAAATCCCGTTAATTATGCTCAGGAATTAAGGTTGGGTTCCATGAAAACCTCGCCTCGCACGGAGCGGCAAAATTGACATAAAATAATCCGGTTTACCTCAATATTCGTGTCGTAATTTGTATAAGGTGGAACGGGTTTCTGAATACTAAATTTAGCGGGAGTCCTGGTGCGAATTTTGCCGTTATTTTCCCGGAAAATGGCACCTGGGACGATTTAACCCAAATTCGCCTCGGAATGACTTGAGCCATCTGCTCCCTGTTTTTTTTTTCATTTGAAAAATAAATAAATCACTGCTCATAAAGCTGAGCTCCAGAATTGAATAATGACGTAAATTTTTGGAAATCGCTTCTTCTGGCAGAATTATTTACTGAAGTGCCGTATTTGAAGTCATCATAAAGTACCAGACACGCCCTGGTTTTTTTTTTTATTCCTCAAAGTTCAATACAGGTGGACTATTTCTACCTCGTTTACAACGATTTTCTCTGTATAACGGATTTATGTTTTGTCCCTTGAGGTTCTCTCCTCATATTTTGGGGGACGACGAATTTTTTCCTGACCCCTTGGATTTCGTTGTAGAGTCCACCTGTGGAAAATTTGCTTCAGATTATTGATATGCTTTACATTTTTTCAGGGAATTACGTCGAAAACTTCACTTGTATTCGAAATTCAAATTCGAAATACTGTGGAATAAGTGGGTGGTTCAAATTTCAAGGCGCGAGAAGAAATTTTGAGAAAATATTTCCGTCGTTTTTAAAGACTTTTAAATTTCCAGAATTTCCAGCGAGAAAGCAGCTGAAATTTTTTAGAGAAAATTCCTAACCATAGTTGACACATTTTCTGACGAACAGGAAACTTTTAGGAAAAATTTCTAGCGGGAAAAATGAACTTCTCTTCGCGTTAAAAATAAAAATCGTAGTTTTATAGTTTCTGCTCCTTTTAAACGGGAGGACACAGCAGTCTTTTTTTTTTTATAAGTCGAAGCTGGGTGAGAATTTCTTCGCATGATTAAAAAAAAAAACGAGAGGGGGGAAAAATGTGGCCCCCATCGTTTAGATATTGCGGATGAATAATAGCCGAGTTTAGCCTTCTTTCATCTCGGCTGCGCGGGGGTCCCAAAAGAACGAGATTTCCTTTCGGGTATTTACCCAAGCTGGGTTCAGTATTTTTATTTTCTTTTCAAGTGTTTTTCATATTTTTTTTTTCGTAAGAGATCAGGAGGCGTAAACCTGAAGAATAGGGGCCAGGATCTCGCGGGTAGCGCTTGGTGAGACGGGCGATTTGCCACCTGCTGACGCGTTGATTGTGCGCGAGTCTCGGTCGCAATTAACGCCCCGCATCAAGCAGCTCGCAGCTGCCCGCGGGCCAGGGATAATTACGAATCGACGTCATCCACATCTGGCTACACGACGTCCGTGTTGTCGTGATTTTTCCTGTGCCTTTCGTGTGCTTCTGTGTCTGTGATTTTTTTTTTTTTTTGGTTATTTGTCTCACATGCGCTTTTTCTTGATTATTTTTATTTATTTTTTTTTGGGTCTGTCAAGTGCTCATGAAAGAGATTATGTTGAAAAATGGCGAGAGAAAAATTGAAAACCCGTGGACGAGACGTGGTGTGATTTTTTTTTTCTGTGCTCGTTGACTGGTCGTCTAGTGTTTTCTACTGAGATTTTTGGAAGGAAGATTTTTTATTAATATGATTGTCCCTCTTTCGATTTGATGATATTGTGGCAATTATGCTAAGGTGCGTTAGAAGGTTGATGGCGTTGTCGATGCAAATCTTCCATTTCGAGGAGAGAATTATACTAAAACGATGGAAATGTTGAAATGTGTAG